AGGAAACGGGGGAGAGACGGAAACATTCAGAAGCAGAAATATGAAGTAGCGGGAGGAGTAGGGGAACCGGGATCTCCATGAGTCGTGAGCTGATGGAATGTGGCTGATGAAGCTGTGAGATATCCGCTTGTACTTGATATATGTTCCTTAACGTTTGCTGAATTACAGATTTGAATACGAATGTTAAATCTCCGGATTAAAGGTTTGATGGTTCTTAGCTTCCAAATGCAGCTCTTTCTCACTCAAAGGGGGTGACTTGTCTATCAGTCATTCCCTTCTCATTTCCCGGGATGGGGAAAGGGATCTGAGAGAAGAACTGACTGAGTCTGTCACCACCTAAACGTTTTCCAAAAAATATTCAAAACTTTGGGCCTTTTTTTCTCTCCTGTGAATTTACTTTTTTCTCTCACATTAAATTCATGTAAAAAACATACTGAGAGAAATTCTAGTCTATTAAATATTTGCTTTTCTGTAAATAATCATGAACTTTGAAGTAAGCATTGGTGACATATCATGACCAGCTCTTATCATTATTTTCTAAGTAAAAGAACATTTTAGTCATTAAAGTCTTACCCTTTTTGAAACTTAGAAGTGATTACACTTAAAAAAAAAAACCCAACGCATTTTCCTTTTGAATTATTTGTATCTAGTTTAATTCCTGAGCTTCGCATCCTTTCTATTCTTTATCATATGCAAAAACATCGACTGGTAGTTGATAATACCCATGTGCACTTGGTAAGGATACCAATAATTCCAGTGTGCACCATCCTTGGTAAGGATGCGAGTGATCTTGGCAGTCAGAACCTAGTTTCATGACTTTGTCCAATATTCAGCAGCTTTTTCCTTGCCTTGATGTGATTTGTTGAATTATTGACTATGAGCCACAAAGGAAGTGTTCCCCTTTCGTCCCTGTTGTCCATTTTTTGAAACGACTCAAGGATGTACTGGAGCGACTTCCTGCCTGTTCATGGCGAAGTGATTTGACAGGCATATGTCAATAGCTAACTTTTCCCAAAGCTTTTAGCATGAAGGTCTCTGTTCTCTGTAGTTATCTGAGAAAAGAGGGAGGCAGTCTGCCTAGGGTGCTGCACTTGTAGAAGTTCTTGTTTCAGTGCCTCGCAGTACCCAGAGGTCTGAGGTGTGCTGGGTCTACTATCTGTTGCCCAGTGGTACTGAAATGAGCTCTGGGGGAGCAACTCAGGCACCAGGAAGGAATTAGATAAAGATGCCAGTTCATGGTCCTCACCGCTGAGCTGCAGATTCATAACCTAGAGTGGGGCCCTGATCCCCAAGGGATCTGCATGCTCATTAAACCAAAAGGTTCCCCATTGGTTCTTATTAGCTCACTTGAGGAGGTTTTTTGTTGTTGTTGTTGTTTTTAAGATTTTATTTATTTATCTTTAGAGGGGAAGGGAAGGAGAGAGGGAGAGAAACATCAATGTATGATTGCCTTTTGTGCTTCCCCTGCTGGTAAGTGGCCTGCAGGGAACCCGCCTGCAACCCAGGCATGTGCCCTGACTGGGAATCGAACCTCGATTGTCTGGTTCACAGGCCCATGCTCAATCCACTGAGCTACACCAGCCAGGGCTTTCACTTGAGGAGTTTTAAGAAAAGGCATCAGCTATAGGCATCTATTCCCCCACAGAGTTGGTCAACTGCCTTGGGTGGGGCATGGTTGTTTAATGAGGTCTTGTAATGGATTCTAAGGTGATGACCAGGGTTAGCAAGAGGGACATCAAATGCATTTGTGAGTGTGAGGAGCAGACTTTTCAGGAACAATAAAAGCGTGCTGTGCTGGGATTGGGGTTCAGGAGAGCAGTGCATACTCTCATAGGAGTTTGGAGATGTCTGTGGGAGGAAGGAGCACCTGAAGGGAGAAAGAAAAAACTCCCAGTGTGGTCTCCATGTTGGAGCTCATTGTTTGTGATCTTGCTATGACAAAGGGCAGGAGACAGTGGCCTTTTCATCATTTCTAGGTCCTTCTGCCCGTGAGTGTGGTGGAAGAGGATAAAGGGGCTGTGTGGACACCTTTGAAGCCACATCCTCAACGTGCACACTTGACTCCTCAGCACATCGTCTTCTGAGAAAACAACCCAGAGCTTGAGCAGGATGACATGGCTGCTTCAGGTAAACTGTGTGTCCTGGGTCAGAGGCTGTATTTTTCCTCCTCACATGAGTAGATTTAGATCTTGCAGTGTTTTTTTCTCTTCTTCTGATGTTCTTGCTTAGTGAGGTTGTTCTCTAATTTTTTCTTTCAATTATTTTCAGTGTCAGCAGTTTATGTACTTTCTTTTTTCTTCCATTCATGACTTCATTTAGATAATTTGTAATAAAGGAAAGGTGGGCGGTTAAGAAATCCAGAGTTTGAGGCAAAGTTTTTAGAGCAAAACTTTTGCAAATAGGGACTTGCAGGCATCCATTGACCAAATCATGGTTGTTGTCTCCATTTTATGTACTTTTATCTTTTGTTTCATAGCCTTCTCTTCATTATCTGTAGCTCCCTGAGGTCAAGAATTTCCATGTTTAATTAATGACCTTCAACTACTGAACACATCCCCTCTGTGACAGATCAATATGGGAAGGCACCCATGTCCAACATCCCTGTTGGGATAGTCTCAGAGGCTCAGGTATTGGTAGGGAAGAGAACTACAGACTTTAGGTTCATGTGGCTGCAGCATCAGCTCTGTATATTAGGGGTGGGAAAACACACAATTTACTGGTCAGGATAGCTCAGAAAGTTCTGACAAAGAAGGGTAGGTAGAAGAGCCTTGTTTGCTAGTTTTGTACAGAAGTCTTGGTACTGAAATGCACTGATTAGGGTACAAAATGGGACAGGTACATGTGAATTTGCATTTGCAAAAATTGATGTTTATTTATGATCATTTTCACATAATGATTTTCTTATTCCTGTATTTTTACCAGTAATGTCAGAGCAGTGATGACATATTCCTCTGTAAGCCTCAGTCAGAGCATATCCATTGCTCCAGACCCACCTGATTGTCAGCTGACTAAGGTGCTATCTTAACTATGGAGTTAAGTTTCCCTTTATCATTGACAAGGATCTGGCAGGGAATTACTGAGAAATGCGATAAAATTATCACATTTTATCTGCAATTTTTGTTGTCATTTTAGTTTGTTTGCTTTGGAAAATGAAGGCCCTGCATTTATTTCCTCAAGATCAGTGGTTTCAAACATGAAGGATTTACTCAATGAGGCCTCTTCTTGCAAATTTTCATTATATTCCACACTCGTGTTACAGACATATCCTATTTGTTAGTTTTTATATTTTCAATAAAGTTTACAAGAGCAATATAAGTTTATTTTCAGTTCAGTTAAATTTGTAAGATAATAGCTTTCCACTCATGATGCTCAAAATTTTAAGAGAAATGAAAAACTAAGAAATAATTGCTCTAACTTTATGTATGTTCCTCTCCATATTGTGTTTACAAAAGATAAAGAGCACCATCCACAATTAGATTTATGAGATTTACAGACAAATTTTAATTTTATTGACATGAAAATTCTGTCTACGGCCATACCACCCTGAACGCACCCGATATCGTCTGATCTCGGAAGCTAAGCAGGGTCGGGCCTGGTTAGTACTTGGATGGGAGACATGAAAATTCTGTTTTCTGTCACTTTTCAGTTGTACCTAGTTTCCATATATTTGTCAGTCTGTGTGCATAAAATATTAACTTTTCAATTATTTAGGCTTCTGACTCTCTTCAGATGTTTGCATTCTTCTCAGTTACCGAAACTCCAATGAATAGTCATGAGGTTCTCTTTACATGTATTTGCCTGTATTTGTTGAAAAATTGGACATCAAGTTTGGGGAAAAATTTAGCTCTAACCTTTACTATATGTTTCACAAAATACACTTACAGTATAGGAAGAATAATTTTGTTCTAAGATTACTTATACAACATTTTCAAATAGTATTTTGGCTGCTATTTCTTATTTCCTGAAAACTGTAAATTTTATAAACCATTTCCAGCTCAAAGATAATGTCTGAATTCTGTATTGTTTTGTGTGCTGTTCAGAAGTGTGGCACATGGACCAGAGACTTTGCTGTCAGTAGTAAAAATGTGAGCTCGTTAAAGATGTGGAAACACAGGCCCCATCCCAGACTCCTGTATCAGAATTTGCACTTTCGCAAATCTTCAGTTGTCTGTTGTCTGAATTAAGTCTGAATAAGTACTTACACCTTTAACTCCCCATGAGTTTTGTAGCAGAGAAATGTGCACAGCTCATTTCAGATGATACAAATACAACGCTCACATACTTATGCCTGTGTTGATGCCTTCGTTTTAAAGTTTATTTTCCCCAAAAGTAAAGTCTCTGTTTGTGGTTTGTGGTAGTCAACGTCATGTCTCAGTGTTTGAAAATACAATACAGTATATATCTGATTGAAAATGATATTAGTAAGTAACTCAGGATACTCTTTTAGCTCAAAACCATTTCTCCCGACAGTGTTTGCTTGTTGGATGACATTTCGAACTCTGCTGTTTCAGGGACCATTGACCTTCAGGGACGTGTCAGTAGATTTCTCTCAGGAGGAGTGGGAATGCCTGGACCCAGGTCAGCGGGAATTGTACGTGGATGTGATGTTGGAGAACTACAGCAACCTGGTCTCCCTGGGTGAGGATGACTTCCTTTCAGACCTCCTGCTCCACCTGTGGAGTTTCATTTTGTTAGTTTAACATTTTTGGGGGGACTTCTGCTTTGTATGGGAGCCCTTCAGATTCTGGCTCTCAATGGAGAAATTGGAGGTTATCCAGTGTAGAGAGAAAAGACTTCATGAACCATGTGAATTAGGAACTTTTAGTGTCTGAAAACTTTACATGTGACCTAGAATGATTAACTTGCTACTGAAAACGTTATTTGGAAAATCACTTTAGAATATTTTATATTACCAGTTTAATTACCTGAGAAGAAAGTGGAATGGGAAAATTTCCTCAAGACTAAAATAATTCTTTTTCGTATAAACAGGTGTGTTTGTCTCTAAGCCTGTTCTGGTCACCTTTTTGGAGCAAATGAAGGAGTGCTGGATTGCGAACACGGAGAAGACAGTATCTGACAGTATTCCCACAGGTAGGTGGGGATGGGGAAGCAGGTGACACAGGTGAGATGCCCAAGTGTCACAGAGGAAGCCAGACTTTCAGGTGTGGTTTGGGGAGCCAGACCTTTAAGTGTGGTCAGTTGACGGGATGTTGAGAAGCCCAGGCTTACCGCTGCTGTTGTCATAGAGGGCCAGTTTGTCTCCAACATGTCAGGTGACCTCTCTCATCCTGTTAGCTCTTGGGTGCAAAGTCTTTTCCTTCACTTGTGAGACCTGCTGTGCTCTGGCTTCTGTTACTTTGCTTTTGGGACTCACGAATATCTGTGTACATTGCTATGAAATGTATGTTAAACTTTTCTTTTTTAACTTTTGCTTTTCTCTCATGGAAGGTGATTATAAAGGAAATGGTTGAATTCTGGAATTTGGTACTGAAATCCCAAGAACATTGGGGACAGGTGTCATGGTTTTTGGTTTATAAAATCTAATACTATGGAGGCTTCAAGCTTAGACTTACTCAGTGATTTTATCTCAGCGAAATGCACCACCCAAAATGAGACAATCTAATTTTTTGTTTTACTTTAAAAATGTTCTCTTGCATAGTATGAAATAACATAAGAAGTTTATAGTGTATGTTTTAATTCCTTCCTGTTAGAATACTTTACTGTGTTTATTTACCTGTTTAAGTTCTTCAGTAAGTTACTGCCATAGCCGACTTGACAACACTGCCCACCATGTAGGACAGTTTCTATTGTTACCTGATTTCTTCATCACTATTCTTTGGTAAGAAGTGAGTTGCATAATATCAGTTCATATTTTTAAAATCGTTTGGTGGTGCTTTGGTGCTCACTGCTTCTGGCCCTTGAGTGTGTTGCTTATAGAAGTGGTAGGGTTGGAGTGTAACATGGTCTTAAGCTGTCTACTGGCTCTGGGTCCTCCCTGGAGGTTCAAGGTCTGCCACCACCTGTGATTTGCCCTGGATCAATCACCTGGCACACATTACAGAGTGATGTGCAGAGGGCTCCTGATTTAGCTGGGTTTGTAGGGTCCCCAGAGAGGGCAAGATGTGATTCAAGGCCAACTGTGGCTCGTTCTGGCATGTGGTTGCTGAGTGAGAGTTACAGGGCATGCAGAGACCAGATCCAGCGTGTTTGAAAGATTTGGGAGAGTCTGCACCATGATGCAAGAGGGGCCATTTGAGTGGGAAAGGCACTGGACATGGCTTGTGTGGGTTGTCAAGTTGAATGGGGCAAGGTCTCAGGGAATCCCCAGGACAGGGCTATAGCACCAGGCAGGTAGGCAGAGACTCAGATATGGCATCTTCCTTCTATCTCTGTGGTGGGGAGGGCTCAGCAAGGGAATAATGGCCTGAGATAGGACTTCTGTGTGGCGGCAAGCTGCTCCTCCAGCCTTAGCCCTGAAGGCAGACAGTTGAGTCCCTCCCTAAAATCCCTAGCACCTTTCAATCTGCTGTCCCAAGGCTAGAGATCAGAGAGAGTGAGTCCCAATAAGTCTGTGTCAAGCCCTTTAAGAAAAAGACTTGGAGTTTTTCTTAAAAGTCCATCTCTCCATCTCATTCAGCTGCCATCCTCACTGGTTTTCCATGGTGTTCCCTTGTCAAGGATAGATTTCCCAAATTGAGTTATGTTTTTGTTTTTATCCATATATTAGAGAAGTGAATGATAGTTTTCCACTCAGTACACATAATACATTGTGGGACTTAATGAAAATATGAATCCACCATATGTCATTTGCCATGAAAATTATGTGCTTGTTTGTGTGGTTTTTACCTTATGTTTTTTATGACTGACCATATTTTGCCATGTATAACAAGCTCCTGTGTATAATGGGCACCCACATATTCTGCCCAAACTTTGAGGAAAAGAGTATCTTTTATTTTAATTGTTAAATTCAGCTCTGTATTTATTTATATTAAGTTATTTGTTTTTTTTTGTTTTATAAAGAAATTTTAGCCTTTTCTTCACATATTATGGTATAGGAAATTTTATGTAACAACTAATTACAAAACACAAGAGTCTGAAATATCAGTTATTGGAGGTGCTACCCAGATATAATGTACATCTTTAGTTTTCTCTCAAAAATTTAGGCACAGTAGGGCACAATGTACATTGCAAAATATGATATCTTGTTTCTTTGTGTGCTTCGTTAATTGTCAACGTTTGTTTTGTCCAGTGTAGTTTCAGTAATAGGGTTAATGTTATATCGGTTCATGGCTGAATTTATATTCTCTTTCTGTGAGATAAAAATATTCCTAAATTAAATATAAATTTTGAAAAGTTTTATAATATTTCTTTTAGAAGTCTTTTCTGTTAAATTTTGTGAAAAATCATGTGAGCACAAATCTAGCATCTATTTTTCAGTATATTTTATTGATTATGCTATTACAGTTGTACTGTTTTTCTGCTCCCTTTACTTCCTTCCAACCTGTACCCCACTTCCCTCCATCATTTCTCCACTTAGTTCATGTCCATTAGTCATACATATAAGTTCTTTGGCTTTTTCAATCTGTGTTGTACCCAACATTTATGCTTCTTATTTCCTGTACCTGTTCCCCCATTGTACCCGCACCCTTTCCCCACTCATAACCCTCCCAGTGAACTCCATTTCTGTGATTGTGCTCCTGTTCTAGATGTTTTCTTAGTTCATTTTTCTTTTTGTTTTTCTTTAGGCTTAGTTGTTGATAGTTGTGCTTGTTGTCATTTTACTGTGCATATTTTTTTAAATATATTGTTTTGATTATGCTATTATAGTTGTCCTATTTCCTCCCCTTCATTACCCTCCACCCTGCACATCCCCCCCACCATTCCCCCCCTGTAGTTTATGTCCACATGTCTCAAGTTCTTTAGATTCTATATTTTCCATACTATTCTTGCCCTCTCTAGTGTTCATATTTTTGATCATCTTCTTTTCCTTAGATAAATCCCTGTAACATTTCATAGCCTAAGGGCTTGGTAATGATGAACTCCTTGAACTTGATGTTATCTGAGAAGTCCTGTATCTGCCCTTCCATTCTAAATGATAGCTTTGCTGGACTGACTAATCTTGGATATATTTTTGTGTTTTCATAATTTTGAATACTTCTTTCCAGCCCCTTCTTGCCTCTAAGGTTTCTTTCGAGAAGTCAGCCACGAGGCTTATGCCTTGGAGGTAACTGTCTTTTCTTCTCTTTCTGCTTTTAAGATTCTCTGGTTATTGTTCATCTTGGGTAGCTTAATTTTGATGTTTCTTGGTGTGCTCCTCTTTGGATCCAACTTGTTTGGGACTCTGTGAGCTTCATGGACTTATAGGTATATTTCCTTCTCTAGATTGGGAAAGTTTTCTTTTATGATTTTTTCAAATAAGTTTTCAATTTCTTGCTCTTCCTCTTGTCTTTCTGGCACCCCTATGATTTGGATATTGGAATGGTTAAATTGTCCCACAGGTTCCAGAGACTCTCCTTATTTTTTTTTTAATGCTTGTTTCTTTCTTCTGTTCTGGTTGAATATCTCTTCTTTCCTTTTGTTCCAAATTGTTGAATTGGGCCCAGTTTGCTTCCCTTTACCATTGGTTCCCTGTATTTTTTACTTATTTCACTTTGTATAGGCTTCACTTCCTCCTTTATTTTGTACCCATACCCATTCATCTCTGTGAACATCCTGATTAGCTGTGTTTGGTAGTCTGCATGGGATAGGTTGGCTGTCTGTTCGTTGCTTAGTTATTTTTCTGGATTTTGGATCTGTTCCTTCATTTGGGCGTATTACTTTGTGTCTGTGCACCTGTCACATTTAAGCGGTGGAGCCTGAGGTATTAGGTAGCTTGGGGAACCCTCTTCATTGCATTGTGGCACTGTGTGCAGGGGAGCTGTCAGAGAGGGAACAATGATGCTTGGTCGGGTCTCCCCATTTTCAGTCACTTCCCCTGCTATCCACACAGTGAGTGTGCCCTTCTGGTGCTGATTCCCTGGTGTGTGGGTTTGTGTACATTCTAGAACCCCATTGTCCCCTCCAACAGAATCTACTGTAAGACTGGCAGTTTTTCCTGACTCAGCAAGCCCCCACAGGTTTTGACAGCCAGAGTTATTCAAGCTTACTTTTTCAGCCTTAGACCCTAGATTTCAGGGTGTGTCTGGCTCCCCAGTTGTTCTTCCTGGTGTATGTGCACTTGAATGTGGGAGTGCCCTTATGGCAGCCACCACCTCACCCACCCTGTGCTGCCACCAACTTACCACAAGTCGTTTTAGCTCTGGCTGTCCATCACTACTCCTACCAGTCCAGATTAATGCTTCTTCTTTAACTCATTGGTTGTGAGGCTTTTGTACAGTTCGATTTTTTTGGCAGTTTTCTTTGTTTTTTGGTTGTATATTGGTTGTTATCCTTCTTTTGCTTGTGTGAGGAAGCAAAGCTGTTTACCCATGCTTCCATGTTTGCCAGAAGCCCCCTCAAATCTAGCATCCGAACCATCTATTACTGGATAGTCCATTCACATTAAGTATACTTCCTTTGTTGTCCATTTGACCTCCTGCAGCTTCCAGCTGACAGAAATGTCTCAGTGTACATGGAACAACCATTTTCTAATTTGTCTTAAAACCAATGCTCAAGTAATTACCTTTGTTTTTTTCCTGTGAGGTAGACCCCATTAGATTATTTACCTCAACGCATCCTATAGTATCTGTCTCTTCGTGACGCAGGTGGTTCACTTAAAAAATGTCCTCAAAAACGTCATGTGCTGTTAAGATCTTCTTCAATTTTTTGACAGAATACAACTCCTTTGTGTGTATAAACTACGTTTTTTAATCTATTTATTTTTCTATAGACATCGGGTTGCTTCCACCTATTATAGGATTTTGTGAATTGTACTGTGGTCAACACAGGTATGCCAGTGTCTCTTGCAAGTCCTTGTTTGAATTCTTTTTGGAGAAATAAATACTCAGAAGCAGAAGTGTGCAGTTAGAGAACAATTCTATTTTCAATTTTTTGATATTCCAGTTGTTGCTGGTACTGTTTGTACCAATTTATCTTTCATTCAGTCATGTACA